GAGTGTAACATGATAGCTTTAAGCGTGCAAGCATTTTGACTTGGTTTAAAGCATAAAATTCACAAGAATCAATCTTAAAAAGAAATTCTTTTATTCCTTTTTAATTTTTTAACTTGTCGCCAATATTCTAGTTGAACTGATATTCTACATTTCACAGACGAGTGCAGGGGCTGTCATCCTAACGGACATCGTGTTTTGGTGTGTTATTGTCCCATTCTTATCAATTTCTCATTTCAAGCTAAACATGGTGAGTGTAACCCTTCTCTATCAACTTAATGTTATTGAGCATGCTTTTCATTTCTATTCCCGTTGTTTCGATGCACACAAGTAGTAGATTTCCGTAAGTCGCATGATGATTTTTCTAGTATTTTTTATTTTATTTCATTTCCTCCCATGTTTGTTCTTCTCATACCACTCAAACTAAGCCTTAATAATTTGCCAATATGAATGAAATATCGATCATATTATACTTGATCTTCGAAAGTTATAACATGGTCATTGACTTTTGTTAGTCTGCACTTGGCAGTTGATGGGTTGCATGCATAGCCTGAACGCAGTTTTCCTTCTTTTGGATACAGCGTTGAATAATCTTGTAAGTAACAGTCACAACGAAGCCAGATTTTGCAATGATTAAAGAACGGTTAGCATTTGTAAGTAACGGTTTCAATTTTACATATTCTTCATTTTCAGCCCTTTCCTTGGTTTAGAGTCGCATATTTTGTGCTCTGGAGCTGTGGCTACATAATTTTCCAATGGGTCATCCACGCTTGTGGTTTTACATGGTAAGATGTAACTGTGCTTTCAGACTAATAATTGTAACTGTATTATCAGCTAAAAGGTTCCTTTCATCACCCATAGGATTTGTTCTTCTTCTAACAGGTGGCCATACCCATTTCTTGAGCTTAATACCCCATGGGCTCCCGTTTGGTAAAATTCTATAACGCTACTATAACTGTTGTCTTCTTCAACTTTTGCTTTCTATACCCAAAAAGTTTGTTTTCAAAAATTTATCTGCTCTACAGGTATTTGGGCTTGGCGGTAATTCACATACCCTGCTACGGAATGTATTCATTAATAGTGAAAGCAAAAAATACGATTCTTACCGGATTCTTCCCTCGTGCATTTTTGAGAGCATATTAGTTTGGTTGTCGTAGGAAATTGCACAAAACTAGGAGTGGCTTGTTCACATGTTTTGATAAACAACAATTTGGGTTTACACTATACACAGGTTTTTCTTTTTCCCCTACAAGGGTTCTTGCAAATGCTTCAAATTGAACTTGTACTACTGGAAATTTTGAATGATTTGTATAGGAAATTTCTATAAGATCACGTTAGTTTGACAATGAAAGTAAGAGGCTGTCCTGAGCTATATGTTCATTTTCATATTTTACTTTTCAATCAGATTGTTATTGAAAATTCAGGGTACAGAAACAGCAAGACCTGCTCAACAACTTGCTAGTCAGAACTCAGAAGTATATTACTTACTAGAATGACAACATATAATCGCAATTGCAAAAATCCTAGACGACAGTGTAGTCCCAAATCCCAATAATATCAACTAATTAATATCATGCAAGATATTAATTTTAAGTTGTTTTTAAAAGAAAAAAAAAGAGGAATCCAAGAAAACCGTAGCGCTTGTCGAGATTGGTTATTTATTGGAAAATAGATATTTTGTAATTAACAAATTAAGTGAGCTTTTCACAAAAAAAAAAAGTTTCTTTTCAAAAAATTAAACAGCGCCTTTCAACTTTTTGAATAAATACTTAAATTCATATTTAAAGATACAAGTGTGATCAAGAATAATCGTTGTTTGTCTTGCTAATTCTCTTTTGATTTAATTATCGGGTTATCTTTAGAGTCATTATTTTGTTTTTTCCCTTATCTGAATGGATTACGGCAAAGATACCTTCAATTACTCCTACACTAATCTCTCGATCTATTTAAAGAATTATAGATATTCTTCTATGCACTTGTATCTAAGAATCAAACCTTTTATCACATGTTTAAGAAATATTAATTATTATCTGTCAACTATATCATGGTAGTTACCCTCACCTATATCTATAGAAACATGAAAGCCTACAACGTAACCTAGGTGAGATTTTGTCTTGTTTTACCCTTTACACTTAACATTTTATTTTAATAATTCAAATCATTTTGGATAGACAGTTTTTTTTTTTTTTACCTTTGCTATTTGTCAAGACAATTGATGAGGTCAATTAAATAAATAATCAGCGACAGCGACCAAAATACAAATCTGTAAGCAGACATCTTTTAGGGAATCCAACATAATTCTTCATGTGTTTATTTGACTGAGTTAAAAATATACAATTGAATTGGCCAAGGCCGAACAGTACAAATCAAAGAATGAATCAATCACATTATATCCAAAAAAAAAAAATTATAAATAAAGAAGACATATATATTTGCAGGTATGAACAATTGAATAAAAGGAGTTTTAGCAGAAGGGATTAAGCATGTGGAGAGTTAATTAAGGACGCTGCAACGAGTCCTGATCTCGCCTTGTGAGCCGGTTAGCACATCAATGGAACCCATATGCACCATTGCCTTAGCAAACTTACGTGCCCAAATTGAAGCATGTTTTGCATTGGTCAGCACCATTGGCCTCGTTGAGGGGCTGGTCATCAACGTCTGATCTGAGGTCAACAGACCACGATGGTTCTTGAGTCCCGTGTAGTACTTGTTGTCCAAACGGTTCGGGGTGGAAGCATCCAGCACCACTGTGTTATCATCATTGCTCCGTGGTGGACACTTGTTTTTCAAGGACGAAGCAAAGTTGGGGTCCATAGAGGGATCCTGAGCAAAGGTAGCATTGGAAGAGTACAAGCGATCGGAGAAGGAGGAACAGTGTGAGACACCAACAGAATGCGCTCCAGAGAGTGTTACCATTTCATCTGCAGACAACCCTTTTTGTTCGAAGTTACTAATAAGCTCCTTTGCGTTAAAGGTTGGACGAGGCAGTTGTGACGCTTCGTCTCTTATAGAGACACGACCGTCTCTGCGTCCAGCTGGAACCTCGTACTTTATGCCCCCAACTTTGTTAGCGCTGTCTCGAGCAGCAAAAGCAAGAATGTCTGCGCACGACACAGTGTGAGGACACTCTGCTTCTATTTGGGCCTTAGCCTCTTCGATGACTTCGAAGCCTCGTAAACTTGGGTTGTTAGCTGGGTGTTCTCTCTCTGATGGATTTCCCGGTGTGGATTCTAACAATACTGAACCATCACAACCCTGCATATACCATATATAGTCCCGCGTCTCTTCCCATTCGCTTCACTCTCTTCTACTCTTTAGCTTCTTAAATACGATAGTTTTCTGTGCTTTCTTGTTTTCCTTTCGTCTTCATTTTTACCGCCCCTATTCGG